GTGTGGATGGTCCTGCACGAAACCTTCACCATTATAATCAAATCTCATGTGCTGTTGTCGGGCTGTCGATTTCCTAGGAACCAATCTACTTGACACTCATACGTCGAATTCGACAAGAAAATATAGAATCATATAATATATATATATATATATATATATATATATATATATATATATATATATATGTATATTTTCGGAACAAATTTTAACGTCCCAATTTAAATTCTTGACACGCTTAGCTTAGAAACGTCACGTTTAAATTAAGAACAGAATTGAGAAAAAGAGAACAAATGATCATTTTTAAAATAGTAAATCGATCGCAACAAAATCTCTTCAAGTCCAGCTCAAGCGTTATTGATTATGCAGATCTTCATAATCTGTGCTCGATTGCTCTTATAATGTCCATACAGAAATCGTTCAGAAGGCAATGTAGAGTAATGGGTAGCGGCTCGGACTGATGCCACAGTAAACCCGAATTCTAGTCGGAACCATTACATTCACTTATGTGTTAATACCGTTGGGATTGGTTTGAATTTCCTTCTCCAAGCTTTGCGTAAAAAGCATGAAGGACTGGGTTCGAAACAATATTTTATATAGAGTTTTTTTTCTTCTTCTAGACCGGTTGCCTCGAGTGGTAACTGGTCTAAGAGAAGAAAAAGACTTGAATTCAAAATCTGCCTGGAGAGGGTTAGACTTCATCAGCCTATTTTGCCCAACAAACACCACTTCTACTTCGGCTGCAGTACACATGGTGCCCCTAAGATTCTACGATTCAGAGGATTAAAAAAAAAAGCAGCAAATTTATTCAGTAACTCCCCAGACATTCAAGCTGTTGAGACTTGTGTGTGTGTTTTTTTTAAATATTTACGAAAAAACGTCGTAATTTAAGCAATATTCCGTCAATTATACATGTTCTTTAAAAGAGAACGGGAAAGGGGTGCCTGTTGAAAGTTTTCGTAAGTTTTCTCTCAATCGATTTTTTTCAGATGAAGAATAATAAAGCAACTTGTTGAAATTACGTGTTAGTGTTTTACGACTTTCGACCATCGTTGCACATTTTCGGGGAGAGAAGAAGAAAGTCCAAAAACCATCAATGTATTCACAATTTAAACCTTATAAGTAAGATGAACAAGAAACAAAATAGAACAACCCCATAGCAAATATGATTTGATGAAAAAAATAAAATCGGGAGTCTATTTCAAATACGAATATTCACTATAATAATATTTGAAATGATAATAATAACAATGTATATAATATATATATATATATATATATATATATATGTGTGTGTGTGTGTGTGTGTGTGTGTGTGTGTGTGTGTGTGTGTGTGTGTGTGAAAATATATAGAAAATAGGAAAGAACTCGTTAGGTAAATAATACGAAGTTCTTTAGTATTTTTATTTTTGTTTAAAAAAAAACAGCGCTCGATACAACAATAGAGCCTAAATATAATTAAGCGAATGAATCATATTTTAAATAATTATATATATATATATATATTAGTTTAATGTTGACGTTGTGAAGATATATTTGCTTTGTACAGACAATCTAGGGATTGAGCAGTTTAATGTTTTGTGAAGATATATTTGCTCTGTCCAGATAATCTAAACATTTAATGTACTGTGTAGGTATTTGACGTTTTTTTTTTTTCTACTTGTTCGATTTATTACGATTTTTACCAAGTCGTCTGTTTATACACTAAAAGTGTTGTATACTATAGTGAATATATATATATATATATATATATATATATATATATATATATATATATACTATCTTCCATATATAGTTAACTGATACTTTCTGCTTAGTCTACATCTACAGACGTGAACTACTATTACACTCCAGGTTGAAAAGACAGACGAACACTTTCATTGTCTGTCAAAATAGCCTATTTAAAAGGAAAATGTTTGATTATTAATTATATATTATTTATATATATATATATATATATATATATATATATATATATATATATTTATTATCAATAATATATATATATATATTGATTATCAATTATATATATATATATAATTATTTATTTAAAAAATTATAACATAAATATGTTATAAAATCAAATACAAAAATATACATTTTTTTTCAGCATCCCTGTGTCTCATCAAGTGATGATGTTAAGACACTGTGGCGTTGAAACAAAATGGCTATTTTAAAAAAGTGATTTTATAACATATTTATGTTATAAAATTTTTAAATAAATAATTATATATCTTAAAAGACTTTGTATTGAGCACTCTTTTAAGAATAGTAATTGTTGGTTATTGCAATTCATTCCGTATATACCAATTATACTTGTACGTATATAAAAAATATATATATATATATATATATATATATATATATATATATATATCGTGTGCGTGTGTGTCTATGTATATGCATTTATAGCTGGCCACTCGTATTCGAGGATATGATACTAGGGCGGCTAGCTAATCCCTACTGCAGAGGCTTGCTTAGGCGCATTTGTTTTTTTTTCAGCACCCACAGAGCCCACCTGTGGTTTTTACTGCAACTAAGCTGAGCAGACCTTAGTCACAGTTTCTGGGAGAGAAGCGTGTTATCTAGCGTGATCAACAATTTGAACAACCGCAGAACGCTCAAGCCCTCGGCCACGATGACGTGTGACTTAGTGCTTACATAGCTATCGACGGCCCACTAGTGTTCCGTCTACCCAATTTAACTCAAAATACTTGGGTCAAATCGTGGTATGGTTTTCAGGCATTTTTTAAAAGGTACCGCATGCTTGGATCAACGCCTCCAGTCCGATAACATCAAGAAGTGTCCTTCCTGAAAAATTGAACATGGTGACTTTCGAACCCGGAACTCATGGTTAGAAGGCGAGCGTACTAACCACTTGGCCTTGAGCATGCTAGCCTTTGTTCAAATTGTTGATCACGCTAGATAACACGCACTTTCCCAGAAACTGTAACTAAGGTCTGCTCAGAATATTTGCATTATAAAATTTTTTTAAATAATAACAAAAATACTAAAGAACTTTGGATTATTTACCTAACGAATTCTTTCCTATTTTCTATATATTTTACACACACACACACACACACACACACACACACACACACACACACACACACACACACACATATATTTATATATATATATATATATATATATATATATACCACGTTTAAGTAATGAGATCTCTCGGAATAATAAACGAAAATCTATCAGTTCTTTGAATATATATATATATATATATATATATATATATATATATACACTTATATTCTTTTTAATATACATACTTTTCTCTCGTTGGAACCACTACAACATATTTCTTTTATATACTCTTATATATGTTTAGGTGTATACCAAAAGCCCTTCCGTCTGATACGTAATTCTTTCCCTCGCATGCCTATACACTCTAATAATATATATATATATATATATATGTATATATATATGAAGGTATATAGGAGGGTGGTGAGAGCGAGGGTAAGATCAAGAGAGAGAAATCGACAAAACATACGGGGAGATTATGTGCCATATATTTGCCTGCTTGCATTTGTGTCTGTCAGGTGGGTGGGTGACTCAAAGTTTTTTTTGTCATTTGATACGACATGTCAAAAAATGACGGACAATATTAGCGCAAAGCGCACGACCCAGACATCCTTTACCCACCCCTTCAAATATGTACACAATTTTCGAGCATGCACCGCGCATCCTTTGTTCTTGTCCCCCAACACCGACCCTACCAACTTTGGTTATTATCTAACATTCCCTCTCTGACTGTTCCGTCAATTTGAGTATGTTTAGTATGGGCCCCGAATCTCATCTCACAGCGGAACGTCAGGCCATTGGTGTCCTTAGTGCTTCTAAGGTTACCCTCTGCTACCGAGACTGCAACACCCCTCGGTCGGGTTTTTTGCACAGCAAAACCCGTGGGAGATCTGCCTGCAGTTGTCTTAAACTTGTCTTCGTAAATCTTTTTGATTTTCGTCCTAAATTACAACGTGATATTCCCTCGACTCGTTCCGTCGTGAAACAAAATAAATGATCCGTCAATAACAATGTTTGGATGTCATCAGGAGAAGTGTCTTGGGCAATGTTATATTTTCTTTTTCTTTCAGTTTTTAGTAAACTGTTAACTATTAAATATGCATAAACTACTCTTTCTTTAAATGTTAAATGCCATACCTTAACATATATATATATATATATATGTGTGTGTGTGTGTGTGTGTGTGTGTGTGTGTGTGTGTGTGTGTGCTACAGTTCAAAAGTTTGAAGCTACATTGGTTCATTTTGAAGTCATTTTTTTGTTAAATGATATGGCAAATTTTGTCTATCAATTTTTTTACAAATTTTTCAGATTTTCGAATTAGGTGTCTTCTGTCATCAGTAAATTTGCCAAAGTTCATATTTACTTTTATTTTATATTGTTTTCTTCCCGAGTACTTTCAAATGTTGGTAAAGTCGTTTTTGAAGGATTTACACGTGAACTATGGTCCTCTGTTTGTTTTCATTACCATAATTTTTCGGGTGCTGTTACCCCCCCCGCCACCGGCCTGCTCAGCTATAATGGTCGATTGACTTCTGTCTGAATTTCTGGGATAAGGAGTTATCCTTATTTAAACTATTTATATTCGAACTATTATCCTAATCTCTGTTGCTGTTATCACAACGTTTCGGCCGTTGTATATTCCGGCCTTCCCCGAGTGTATATTAATCTGGTTAATCGACCGGGAATTCTGAAAAGAAGCCTCAACATAATCTACGGAGGTGGATCACATAACTAGTGATATTTCGTTTAATTTTATCTCTGGCTGGTCATATCTATCTATCTATCTATCTATCTATCTATCTATCTATCTATCTATCTATCTATCTATCTATTTCAGTCTCTTCATATCTATATATCCATCTATCTTAGTCTGTTAATATCTATCTATCTATATATCTATCTTTCTATTTATCTATCTTTCGATCTCACACTGTTCATATCTATCACAATCTGCTCATATGAATACATCTATCTATCTATCTATCTATCTATCTATCTATCTATCTATCTATCTATCTATCTATCTATATATATATATATATATATATATCACAGTCTGCTCATATGTATCCGTCTATCTCAGTCTGTTCATATCTACCTATCTCAGTCTTTTTATATCTATCTATCTATCTATCTATCTATCTATCTATCTATCTATCTATCTATCTATCTCATTCTGTTCATATATATGTATGACAGTCTGCTCATATGTATACAGGGAGCCGATACTATTTTTCAGACACTTTATTTTTTCAAGCTTTAGGTAGTACAGGCAGTCTGTACTGTTTTAGTGTAATGACAATAACATTTAAAAACTGTTTCAATACTACAAATGGAAAGCAGAATTCAAATTAAAAGTATTTTTATTTTTTTACAAATTTTCACATTACACAGGCGACAGTATTTTTCGGACATTGCAGAAACAATGCTAATAGTTTATGACAGCACCCTTTTTTTCAATGACTTCTATCAGTTTATCTTCATAATGTGCGTACATATTGATAATAACGTCTCTTCGTGTTTCTAGCAGTCTATTTTTAGCATCTTGCTGCCACAGTTCAGCCTATCTGGTTATTTCTGGCCCGTCGTAAACAAGCTCTGCAAGCATTTCCCATATGTTTTCAATTAAATTTAAGTCTGGACTTCTTGCAGGCCATTCCAGAGTAGTTATATTTGCTTCACACATCCAATTTTTCACTGATTTGGCCACATGGATGCTTCAGTTATCTTGCTGCAAATAAAATTACTTCCCATTTCTTTTTCTATGAGTGGTAGGGCTCTCTTTTCCAAAAGTTCTCTGTAGCTCAAGCTATTTTGACGTCCTTTTAACCACTCGAGCCACAAGTTTCCATTCGGAAATACCATACCCCAAACCATGACTCCTCCTCCTCCCATCTGTCTCTTGTTGAGAATAACAGGTTCACCTTTTCTCGACCATGTCCACCACCCGTCAGGAACATCGAACTTAAATCGTTTTTCATCAGTAAATATCACTTTCTTGAAGTCGACATGGTTTGTTATCCATCTTTTGGCGCTTCCCAGCCTTGCACACTTGTGTTTTCTCGTTAGTGTAATTCTTTTCTTGATTTTAGCATACTTAATTCCAATTTCGTGTAGCTTTCTTTGTACAGTTCGAACACTGACGTCAAGTTCACACTTCTCCTTTACTTTCTTCGCTGTCACCTTTTCCCCAGATGATAACAACCCCGTAACACTCCTCTTCATTCTTCTTTCTGTTCTCTTGGAAATTGTTTTTTTCCGTCCTCTCTTTTTCTTCTTCCGCTCATAGTCTGTACTTAGTATGTATTCAACTGTTGACTTCGGTAGCTTCATCTCAGCGGCGATCTTTCGGATGCTGAGCCTGTCTTCTCTCTTCTTTTGGACCAAACTGATGTCTTCTTTGAATGCATTCTTCTTCAGGGTTTTAATACGTTTTCGCAGTGAATGGTAAAGATACTCAAATGTAATGGTCAGGGTACAATTTATCTGCAGCAAATTTGCATATTGTAGACGCTCGACGACTAAATCATTAAAAAACCCGGAATTTGTGTCATGTCCGAAAAATAGTGTCGCCTAAGTAGAAGTAAAAATAAAGACAACATGAAACCAAAGACAACATCATCAATCAATGTTCATACCATTAATGGACAGTTACTGCTGAACTACCTACTCATCAACACAAAAGCTCTCGACAGCAAAAAACATCTTTAAGCACATTTTTCAAAGTGTCCCAAAAATAGTGTCGGCTCCCTGTACGTCTATCTCAATCTGCTCATATCTACCTATCTCAGTCTTTTCAAATCTATCTATCTATCTATCTATCTATCTATCTATCTATCTATCTATCTATTTCAGTCTCTTCATATCTATCTATATATCCATCTATCACAGTCTGCCCATATGTATCCGTCTATCTCAGTCTGTTTATTGCGTGGGACAGCGGGTAAATGATTATAATGAAACGGCTAATATTATCATTACCATTACAGATGAAGAGAACAGATACTGCAATTTGATCCCAGTCGTATAGTCAGGCAGTGAAGAAAAGCGCAACATGTGCAGCTGTTCAGTGAATAAATATCAAATGTTTGTTTATAAGAAATCAGCTGCTATTCCGATTAGCGAGGAGTTGAGCAGATGCTGTTATTCTCCCCCGATGACCAGTCAATAAATGCTGAACAAGAACAAGGGGTCGATAACAAAGATTGAATGGAAAGATGTGTCGAGGAAAGTATGGAGATAGGAGGTAAAGAGCAAAGGTGGGAGAGCAAGGTGTGTGAAGATAAAGAATGGAGAGCAGGATGGAGAGAAATTATGTGGAGAGCACCCGAAATTGGTTTGGTTAGGGTTAAATTATTACAACGTTTCTGACACATGGCACAGTGGATAAAGGCGTTGGTTAAATCCAATGACAGGACCCAAAGAGTTTGAGTTCAATACCCGGTTAAGGCATGGAGAGGGGAATTAACAGGAGATAACTGACATCCATTCAACATGGCACGTGGAACTAGAACAGTCTACCCCAGCGGGCGAAATAAAGGGTTCTGTTCGACATTCCAACCACCTGAAGAAGGCCGGAGTGTACAACGGCCGAAACGTTGTAATAATTATGGCGATAATAATGAGGACAATAGTCCGAATAATGTAAATAGTATATATATATATATATATATATATTCATCCCAAGCAAGACGGGAATGCCACTGGTACGCAAGGGGTTACTGAGAGTGAAGGTGAGAGAAAAGACTATAAGGCAAACTGAGGAAAGGATAAAAACTGAACGGGTTTCAAGAAGATAGATGTTCATTGACATTACAATGGATGGTGGACAATTTACCCATAGATGAAACGAAGCTTCAAACGTCAGTGATTCGTTTTTTTACAGTTTATCAACATTTTGCAGGTTATTTAAAGCCAAAAAATACTTTAAGATTGTAAAAAATTCTTTTTTTTTGCGGGTGGGTGAAAATAATAATGGTTTAATGATACAAGTCTTACTTTTTTTAACCGATAGCTGGTTGAAGAAGAGGTTTGGTGTGTTTTACGGTATATCAACCTCAATGGGTTATTTAATGACGACAACTTTTTTCCTGGTAATATTTTGCTTTGTCAAAAATCTACATCTGGTAATATTTTTTTCCAAAAATGTATTGTTGGTATTATTTTTTTTCAAGAACGTATTGCTGGTAATAGTTTTTTTTCTTCAAACATTTATTTTTGGTAATAATTTTTACAAAGTATTTCTGGTATTAAATCCTAAATCTACATTTCTGGTATTAAATCCCAAATCTACATTTTTATAATGCTTTTTACCTCATTTTCGGAGTTAACTATTTGTCCATAGCTGGGACCCTAGCAGGTGCTACCATTCCGGGTCAGGTTGGACCTGGGAACACCAGCAATTAAGAGGTGGTTCCACGCTCTTCAAAACCTTCTGGTCAGAGACCTTGCTGTTGGACGTAGTTTATCGTCATACCCTGGACGTAGATGTAGTTTATCGTCATACCCTGGACGTGCACCCGAAATTGGAGATCACGGCTTGAAATTTTGTTTACTTCCATCTTCGAAAAGTACGAACTTGAATTGATAACATTCCAACAGATAATACCTGATAACATTAAGCAAACTAGACTTAAAGACATTTCTTAATGTCTGCGTAAATATTGGAGGAAATTTCAATTTTAAATGCCATGAAATAGGGTACTGTCCCATGTCCCATATCAAGTGTGGAAATACATCTTATACCGTTCGAACTAATCATGTCTTACATATTTTCATTTTAATGATAATAAAGGGTGTTTTAATAACTTGAACTGATTTTAAATGTGAATTAAGTTTAAGTGTTTAATGATTTTTTTCTTTTTCTTTCAGATTTAACAACTTAAGACTTTGCCAGTTTCAACCATGGAAAGATTAACAATCAAACAACGTGTTAAAGTTTCAACAGTGCAACTGGAAAAATTGTCTATAATGAAGAAAGAGGGTTTAGAAAATTTGCCACTCACAGGATATAAAGGCTGTCCCAATAACTTGGGCCGATTTTAATTGTGAATCAAGTTTAAGCGTCTAATGATTTTTTTTCTTTTTTCTTTCAGATTTAACAACTTAAGTTTTTGACAATTTCAACCCTGGAAAGATTAACAATCAAACAACGTGTCAAAGTTATGGAAGCCTATTATGAAAATGGACGTTCAAAAAGAAATGTATTTCGCGCACATTTACGATTTTCTTGGTCAACATAATCGACCAACCGAGAGTGCAATTGGAAACGATGTAACGTTGTTGCGGACAGGTTCAATTCCTGCGCGCGATGACGAATGGGGGTCTGGATTTTCGGTCACATTCTCGTGCACGGGCAATGTTTTCAACTGAGCGGCGTAAACGAGTACGAAATGGTGGTTTCATCTGCCACGACCAAGTTTGTTTGAATTTACGAACAATATTTTCAATTGCACTCTTGAAAATTTAACACGTTGTTTGATTGTTAATCTTTCCACGGTTGAAATTGCCAACGACTTAAGTTGTTAAATCTGGAAAAAAAAAAAATCATCATTAAGTCTTTGGCAATTTCCACCATGGAAAGATTAACACTCAAACAACGTGTTAAACTTTTAAGAGTGCAATTGGAAAAATTGTTCGTAAATTCAAACAAACTCGGTCGATGGCAGATGTAGAAACATCATTGCATGCTCGTTTACGTCGTTAAGCTGAAAACATTGCTGCAGTGCACGAGAATGTGGCCGCAAATCCAGACCCCTCTATTCGTCATCGCGCGCAGGAATTGAACCTGTCCACAACAACGTTACATCGTTTCCAATTGCCCTCTCGGTTTGTCGATTATGTTTACAATAAAAATCGCGAAGTGCTCGAAATGGATTTCTATTGAACGTCTATTTTCGTAATAGGCTTCGATAACTTTAACACGTTGTTTGATTGTTAATCTTTCCATGGTTGAAATTGCCAAAGACTTAAGTTGTTCAATCTGAAAGAAAAAGAAAGAAATCAATAGACCCTTAAACTTAATTCACATTTAAAATCGGTCCAAGTAATTGGAGCAGCCTTTATTAGCTGTTTGCTTATAAGGAAATGTTTGACATTCATTGAGAAAACAGCGAATCGTGTTGTCGTTTGAAATTCATATCTTTGTAATAACACACTTTTTCAGGAAAATAGATATCTCTTATAACTGTTTCTATTACTGATGGTGTTTTCCTTCCCAACCGTTTATTCAAATGAGTGTAGAACAATAAAATCATGATTATGTTATTATTTTCTCGGCGAAATACATGTATACATTTTAGACAAGTAATGATATAGATTCAGTTATTTCGTAGAGTTGATTTAAATTTAGAGCAACAGTTCATAAGATTCGGAGAAGCATATTACTTGGCGTTTTGGAGAGGCAGATAAATAACGATAGCAGCGAAAAAAAAAGACTCCGTGTACATCATAGATTGGACACGAGAAGAAAGACTTAGAATGGTAAAGCTGAAATATTTTTGCTGCTAGAATACCAACGAAATGAATAAGGTCAATAGTCTGAATGTCTCTAAGAAGAATAACAGATATGTTAGATGTTTAAAAGTAGTCAGGGTTTTTTTTTCTTTTCGTAGGTTGGTACACTGTATTTTTCTTTCTTAAAAAAGTAACACTATTTTTTTTCTTAAGAAAGAAATATACAATGTTACTTTCTTAAGGAAGGCATATACAGTGTTACTTTCTTAAGAAAGGAGAATACACTGTTACTTTAAGAAAGAAATATAATGTTACTTTAAGAAAGGTATACAGTGTTACTTTCTGAGAAAGGAGAATACACTGTTATTTTATTAAGAAAGAAATATACAATGTTACTTTTCTTTAAAAGGCATATAAGTGTTACTTTCTTAAGAAAGGAGAATACACTTTACATTCTTAAGAAAGAAATATACAATGTTACTTTCTTAAGAAAGGCATATACAGTGTTACTTTCTTAAGAAAGGAGAATACACTGTTACATTATTAAGAAAGAAATATACAATGTTACTTTCTTAAGAAAGGCATATACAGTGTTACTTTCTTAAGAAAGGAGAATACACTGTTACATTCTTAAGAAAGAAATATACAATGTTACTTTCTTAAGAAAGGCATATACAGTGTTACTTTCTTAAGAAAGGAGAATACACTGTTACATTCTTAAGAAAGAAATATACAATGTTACTTTCTTAAGAAAGGCATATACAGTGTTACTTTCTTAAGAAAGGAGAATACACTGTTACATTCTTAAGAAAGAAATATACAATGTTACTTTCTTAAGAAAGGCATATACAGTGTTACTTTCTTAAGAAAGGAGAATACACTGTTACATTCTTAAGAAAGAAATATACAATGTTACTTTCTTAAGAAAGGCATATACAGTGTTACTTTCTTAAGAAAGGAGAATACACTGTTACATTCTTAAGAAAGAAATATACAATGTTACTTTCTTAAGAAAGGCATATACAGTGTTACTTTCTTAAAAAGAAGAATACACTGTTACATTATTAAGAAAGAAATATACAATGTTACTTTCTTAAGGAAGGCATATACAGTGTTACTTTCTTAAGAAAGGAGAATACACTGTTACATTCTTAAGAAAAAATATACAATGTTACTTTCTTAAGGAAGTATACAATGTTACTTTCTTTAAGAAAGGAGAATACAACTGTTACATTATTAAGAAAGAAATATACAAATGTTCTTAAGAAAGGCATATATAGTGTTACTTTCTTAAGAAAGGAGAATACACTGTTACATTCTTAAGAAAGAAATATAAATGTTACTTTCTTAAAGGCATATACAGTGTTACGTTCTTAAGAAAGGAGAATACACTGTTACATTATTAAGAAAGAAATATACAATGTTACTTTCTTAAGAAAGGCATATTCAGTGTCACTTTCTTAAAAAGAAGAATACACTGTTACTTTCTTAAGAAA